AAATTTTAAGAGGTGGATTTAGTTTGTTATGTAAATTCATTCCTCTACAAAAACAAGAAGAAAAAAATATTCTCATACCACTTGATATCAGCCTGGAGTTATCCCTGATCTTAACAAAATTATTTAACTGCAGCTTGAAAGAGAAATCCTTCCCAAGTTTGTGGAAAGTGTCAAGTGTATTCAAGAATTATAGACCCATCAATCTCCTCAGTGACATTAGCAAACTTTTTAAAGCTATAATCAATAAGAAGGTTGTTGATCTCTCAATAGGAACAACCTCTTTATCAACAAACGTACATGTTTTGATTGGCTCAATCCACTGCTGATTACTCACAGAATCAATGAGACACTATACAACAACTATATCTCAAGGATGATTGCATAAGATATTTCAAAGCCTTGATAAGGTGTGGCATAAAGGATTACTGCACAAGCTCTCTAGCTATGGAATCACTGGAAGAGTCTTTTTAATTATAAAATTAATTCCCTGTAGGTAGTTGTTAATGGCCAGTTCACTCTAGAGAACAGTGCAGGTGTCCCCAGGATTTGTTTCCCAGTCCAATTCTCTTTCTACTTTATATACTATAAGAGTATGCTCCAATCATTGCAAATATCTCTGCTGATTATACAATGGTATATGAGGGCACCTCCAAAATTCTAGATGAGCAGAGATTGGCAGCTGATCTCTCCTCTAACCTAGCTCTAACAGCTCAGTGTGGGGGAATCTGGCTTGTCACATTCAGTGTCTTGAAAACTAAACTAGTGACATTCCACTGTTGCTGATTGGACCCAGAACCATCACCAAATATGCTGAACAGATGTTCTCTCAGGGAGGCCTTGGGCCAGGAGCACCTATTGGGATTTAAACTCAATTCAAACCTCAAGTGGAACCCATACATATTGTTAAAGAGGCTGGAAAAATCATTAGTTTCCTGTACTGCTCCAGTAAATACCTGACTCTGCCTGCTATCCTCTACTTTTACAAGCGGCAGATCAGGCTGAAGATGAAGTACTGCTGCTATGTATGGGCAGGAGCTGCTTAGTTTTCACATTTCAGTCTTGATATAGTTTGAAAGCATCTCAATATTCTTGTGGGTAACAAATTATTTTCCACCCTACAACACCTTTCTCACAGTTGAAACTTTTTGCTGCTCTAATACTATTTTCATAGAAAGTGTTCAGAAGTAATTTCCTTGGTTCCACCAGTTGTAACCTTCATGGCTAAGACTCACCATGCCACACACATTATAACAAACCACCCTCATTCCATCTGTATCCCTTTGGTGAGATGTAGGTTCCACTTGAGTAGCTTCTTCCAACTCCTGCTCTGTGGAAATGACTCCCAAGAGGATGCTCCTCCAATCACTACAATCTTAACCTATTCAAGTCTAGAGTTAACCATTATCTTCCCTACATATCCACATAAACTATACCCCTACCTCAAGGGATTCCTGTGTCTTGTACAGGGGAAACATCATTGTAAAAAATAAAAAAAATGAAGCATTTTCCTACTTTCCTTACAAAGTTTCAATTTTAAATTAAAAATCAGTATTTATTTAAAACATTTTCTTGTTTACCTTTTTCCTGTGTTGGGTTAAAATAAGGCTGGAATACAAAATTTCAATTCATTTCAAAAGAGCCACAAAAAAGGAATTTAAAGCATATTTTTACTTCATTGTCATTATTACTATTATTATTTCACTAGCATTTTTTGGTGATGATGGTGGTGAGGGGGAGGGTTTGCATAGAGGGTACCAATTTACATTGAATTTACATAGGCAAATTAATCCTCTTCTTTCAAATTTTAGATAAGTAATTTTCTTTCTTTTTAATATTCATAATCTGGATAGCTTAAACAATAGAAAACAATGATTATTTATTGGAGAGTATATATTGGTGTGTTTCTGTAGAAATATCCTCACTTTTATTGGATACTATTAGAAATTATACTAAATAATTCCTGATGAAGCCAAGTTGATGGTAAATTCTCTCATAACATATAATAGAAATTTGTTGGATGATGTCCGTTCTGGCACACAGTCATATTCATGAACCATTCACTAAAGAACAAGCTCACTGTCAGTGCTGGTGAAAAGAGCACATAATAAGCATGTTTCACTTTTTGATGATAGATTCATTGTCATAACCAACAATGAATCCCTTTACTAAAAGATGTCACAAAGAACTATTGGGATTTCTAGGTAACCTTGACATATTTGGAAAGGATATTAGAAGAATCCATCACCTCTACTGGCAGAAAACTGTTTGCATACCAATAGAAAATGAGTTCAGTAAATATACAAAAATAGAAAGGAATGTAAGACAAGGAAGTGTCTTCTCACCAGACTTATTCAGCCTTTAAAGTGAAGTGATTCTGAGAGAATTAGAAGCCCTACTAGCATTCATTAATGACAGCCAAAACCTTAACAAAATAAGATATGCAAGTGACACAATGTTGAAAGCAGACATAGAAAGGAAATTACAAGAACTCCTATAGAAGGTAGTGAAGGAAAGTAAGAAGAAAAGACTAACTATCAATTGCAAGAAAACAAAAAAGTATGGTTGTTAGCCCCAGAAACAACCCAACATGCAAATAACAAATTGGAAATACAAAAATCAAACAAGCAAAGCAATTTAAATATCTGGAAAATGTGTTTAGAGACAATGAAAAGTTTGACACTGAAATCTGAAGGTGCATTGTGGGGTAGCAAAAGATGCCTTCCAAAAGTTAACCAATGTATTAAGAAACAGGCAAATTTTATTAGAAACAAAGAAAGGAGTACTGAACTGTTATGTAATATCAGTTCACCTATATGGCAGTGAATGCTGGACAATCTCCTCATATCAGGTCATCCCATAAGTTCTGTCCGAATTTTACCTTTTTTTAAAATGAGTGAAATTGAAAGAGTATTTTATAATGTCTAATGGAGCTGAACATTATTTTTTATGTTTAGATACATTTAAACTGATCAAATTTTATTTCAGAGAACAATAAAATTAAATTTTGTTTGATTAAAACCCTGCTAACATGGAAGTACCCAAGAATCATTTGAGGCACATAATGCTTTATAAGTTCAAGAAAGGAAACTCAGCAGCCAAAGCAACTAGAAACATTCACTCAGTTTATGGAGAGGAATGTGTGAATGAAAGAACTTGCAGAAGATGGTTTGCAAAATTCAGTTCACCCTTGAAGACGAAGATCAAACCGGACGTCCAGTTGAGTTTGATGAAAAGCTTCTTGAAGCAGCCCTTGAAAAAAATCCTGTTTTGTCAGTTGAAGAATTGGCAGTGGTTCTCAGTTCAAACCATACAACTGTTCATCGTCATCTTTAACAACTTGGAAAAGTTCCTAAACTTGGAAAATGGGTGCCTCATGAATTGTCTGAAAACAACCTCAAATCCCGAGTTGACATCTGCTCTTCTCTCCATTCTCGCCAACTTGTTTCACCTTTTTTGGATAGACTTGTGACTGGTGACGAAAAATTGATCTTTTATTGAAATGTTAAGCGTCATAGACAGTGGCTTGGTAAAGGGAAGAACCCCAGCCACAGCCGAGAAAAGGGAACTTCGTGGGCAAAAGGTTCTTCTTTCAATCTGGTGGGATCGCCAAGAATAATCCACTTTGAATTCTTACCACCTAATGCAACAATTAATGCTCAAATATACTGTCAGCAATTAGAGCATTTTGAACCAAGCTTTGAGGAAAAAAGACCTGCTCTAGTGAATCAAAAAGAGGTGATGTTTCATCAGGACAATGCGCGACCCCACACAGCAAGAATCACGGCACAAAAGATCGAAGAACTTGGTTGGGAGAAAATTCCTCATCCACCTTATTCTCCCGATCTTGCTCCTTCAGACTACCATTTGTTTCGTAGCTTACGGAATCATTTGGAAGAAACAGCTTTTGTAATACAGGAAGAGGTTAAAACTGACATTTGTGACTTCTTCGAATCAAAGCCAAAAGAATTTTACAGTAATGGAATTAGTAAGCTTAATAGATGGAAGGAAGTTATAGATAATCAGGGAAAATACATTGTTGATTGAATCTGTAATTAAATGTAACATTTGGTCACTTGTTTTCTTTATTCAAAATTCGGATAGAACTTATGGGATGACCTGATAGATGAAGAAGAGACTTGAAGTAACAGAAATGTGATTCTACAGAAGGATGATGAGAATAACATGGATTGAGCATGATGAAGTTTTAGAGAAAATGACAACAAAAAATACACTTATAGTTAACATCAGAAAGAGATAGTTGAAATTTCTAGGGTACATAATGAGAAAAGAGAGCTTAGAGAATTTGATACTCACAGGATATATTGACAGCAAAAGAGAGACAGAGGAAAACAGTGCATAACCTAGCTAGTGAGTTTGTGTAAATGGATTTCAGAACAGGATTTAGGAGAGATAACAAAAAGACAAAATTTATTAAAAGCTACAAAGCTTAGAAAATTGTGGAGAGTTATGATCACCAATGTCCTGAAGGGACATGGTAAATAGAAGAAGATGAATGTACTGTTGTCATGAATTATTTGAAATATGTCTTCAAATGTCAAGTATATTTACCGGACCTCCTCAATAAGGCTTCATGTGATACAAAGTTGTTTTAAAGCATATATATGCATATGGACCAAGGACAAAAATTGTTGTTTTGCCCAACCCTTGTGACCACTGTCACATTGGCATCGATATTAGACTGACTCCACTTCTCTTACTGCAATGAAGAATGTGCTTCTGCAGGTTTGGGATTCCCTGGGCTGAGCAACTTCTCCCATCTAAAATGATGAAAAAGATAGCTTAGCTTGTAGCACAAGAGGCTATAACCACATCTCAGTAAAAAAAAACCTTATTGGCTAATTGTTAACTCTTATGCCAGACATTTATATCAAACATTTTTATAATTTATTATCTTAACAAATGGCTTAACAGATCAGGAAAAAAAAAACATGTCCTGCAAATTATTCACATTCTATTTGAATCTCAAATTCATATAAAAGTCTTCTCTCTGATGTTTTTATTAATATATTTTTTCTTAAATTACAGGATGGCCACACTGGACCCATTAAAGAGAGTCATCCTGTAAGTTAAACTGTTTATTACAATTATTTGTTGGAATATGTCAAACACTCCAAATTATAATTAAATATCTTTGATCTTCTGTTAAATGTTCTTGAAATTAGTTGAATATTTCTTAAGATTTATTTTTGATTTATTTCCTTGTGAATTATCCTTCATGGGTAAATTTCTATATTTGTTGCAAACTGCTGCCATTTTTAAAACAAATATTCAAATATTTAAAAGGCATCAGTAATTAGACAACCTATTTATGTATGCCTTCTAATTATTTCTGCATATTAATGATACCTATGTTGTTAAATATAATCAACTGTTATTACCTGAGCATACTTGGAAAGTCTGTAATACCTAAAAAATGATATGTTTGAGTTGGTTTGTTAGCTTTAAGAAAGAGAAGATATGAGTAACCAAGAAATCCAATCGGAAAATGTTAAAATTCTTTTTTATTAATTTGGAAGTTTGTAAAAGAAATACCTTTTTTCCTTCTAGAGGGAGAGAGCAAATTGCTGATAATCATTTTACTCTGAGGTGCTAGAGGAGGTCTTAATAATTAGGGGGTCTCAATATACAATAAACAGGGAGATCTTAATAAAAGTAGGGGTCAAAATCATTTATAGAGATAAAAAAAAAAGACAAAATTAATTAACGGAGTGGTCTTAATAAGCTTCGGGCAGGGGGCTCTTCTATTAGGCACTAAAGAGTATACATTGATAGAACTTAAACAGGGGCAGATAACTGTCCAACTTCTTTCTTCTTTTATGTGGTATGTCCTTTCAGGATGTAGCCAATCATGGCTCTCCACATCTTCCTCTCCCTTGTAGCTCTCAATAAATTTTGTCTTTTTGTTATTTCTCCCATACCCTGTTCTGCCATCCACTTGCCCATTAAGTATGTCATGCATTGCTTTCCTTTGTCCCTCTTTCCCTCTAACTGCCCTGTGAGTATCAGATTTTCCAAGCCCTCCTTTCTCATTATATGTTCCAAGGAATACAGGGCATTACATTTGGCTGCAGGAGTTGCCAGAAAGTTGTCAGTGTTGACAGACAAACACCTTTGGGGTTACACATAGCCTTTTCCATGTTTGGGATATGACCACAAGGCAGCAGAGGTTTAAAATCAGAGTTTTTCTTTTCGTATATGATCTGCCTTCAGAATCCCCTGCAACTCTTCTGGACTGTCTATTTGTTTAAATTGGTGAATGCTGCCATAATCCTTACCTTCAGTTCATTTTTGATGTTACAAGGAGTTTTGTTGGTCTCTCACTCAACTATTCCCCACACATAATAAGCAAGGAGTTAGCAGTCTGGGGAGTTAGGTGGCCAGATGTAAAAGGTGATGTGGTCACAGAAATTGTCTGACAGCCATGACTGGGTTCTCCTGCTTGTGTGCCATGATGCAGAGTCCTGTTGCCAGACATAGGGCATTCCAGCAGCCACTCCCTTGATTCAGTGCCCTGAGTCAAGGGGGAGTGGCTGCTGGAAGCACCTACCTTCTCAAGGCAGTTGATGTAGGCCTCACTGTTGAGTTTGAGGCCTTCACCAATTCAGTTTTCTGAGCTGCCGTGCCTTCATAATCACCATTAAACTCATCCAACTCTTTCCACATCCTCTGCACTGTTATCCAAAGATCTGAAATGTTTATATTGGATATGTCTGTGCAAATGCCAAGAAGTACAGCTGCCATTTCCAAATCTCTGGCAAAGTGAACTGCGTCATGGTGCTTTTTTTCTCACAGATTTGAATTAATTACCCTTTGATTATTTGTCCTTCTCTCTGTGCAATATAAAGCAGGATGTTTTGCTTCAATATTTTAAATGTTATTTTAGTAAACTTCTCCAAGAGTAAAATGAGTCCTCTTATTAACGTGATGTAAAAATGGTGAATAATATTTATTTACTGTCATATTTTATTGATACTTTATTCCGTGAATTATTTAAGGAGATTTTGCTGATACTTGTCTAATATTAATAACCAATTAATTTTAAATTAATACATAGATATTTTAGAGATGTAGCTGGCCAAATGGTTAACAGCATGGAAAATGGTATCAGTGAATCAAGTTCAATTTCAGATTGAGACATTTAGTTTCTATTTTGCACTAAATTCCTTAGGAAAGTCATGAATCAATCTTTTTTTTTCACTGCCTTTAGTAAATAGCAGGGCAGACTGGACTATTTAGCCTTGGTTGTCAACCAGTCAAAGTGAAGGATAACTCTGAATTCAAAACCAGGGGGAAATCTTGTTCTTTTTATTTTGTTATGGATAAAATAGCTAAAAAGCAGGTGCTTACAATCCCACCATGTAAAAATATTCTTATTAAAATATGATTGGTGCACAAGCTTAAAGACCAATCTGATCCAAGACACAGGCCTTGTAAATTTAAGATTGTTTCCTTCCAATAATTAAAAAAAATAATAGACCAATAAAATATTTATACCTTTTGTTTCATGTTAATTTTCTTTGGTATTTTTTTTTTTTAGCTTACAATGAAAAAAAATGCAGATTTTTTTCATGTATAACAATAGAGTTAATTGTATAAAAGCTTAGATTGCAGATTCAGAAAATATAAATATATGTATTTGCAAAACCATTTAAATATTATTTTTTGATTTTTTGATGGTATGGGTAAACTATTTCTTCTATATGCCATGCCCCTTCAGGACATTGGCAATCATTGCTCCCCAATGATGTCCTTTACAGCTCTTAGTAATTTTTTCTTTTTGCTATCACTCCTAAACCCTGTTCAGCCATCAATTTACTCAAGCTTACTAGACGATAGAATGGTAGAATTGAGTGGAAGATGATAAAGTGGTATAATGTGTCTAGATTTGGGTTCAGTTTCATCAACAAACCTTCTCTGGTCAAAGTGGTTAAAATGACATCCATGAAAGATGAGTTCCTGAAAAGTTAGATGAGAATTTAAGTCTTGTTTCAAGCTGCTTCTTTATTATTTACATTATTTATATTTTGGATTAATGTCCTCATCTTTGTTGTTATTATCATAACATTTTACTTCAGAGAATTTTGAAGTGAACCCTTTAATTTAGATCGCTCTCATTCTGCTGCCCCTATCTCAGGAGATCTCATCTTGTAATTTATAAAAAAAAGATAAACTCCTCCTGATACTGACAGAAATTCCAACAGAAATAAAATGTTTATTCTGATTTACTTTAGTGGAGACTATATCTATTGATTCAAAATAAAGTAATAAAATGTAACAATGAAACAGAAAAAGGGAACTAGAAATAAAATAATAATTATAATCTGATTTTACTCTAGATGTTTGATCAATTGTTAGTTTGGTTTATCCACAAAAGAGAAATAAAATTTAAATTTATTTAAAATCTTGGAAAGAGAATTATTTCAATGACATGTTAAGAAAAGGCATCAATTTTATCATTAAAATAGTGACATTAAATTCAAATTTCTGTGAAATTAATGTGGAATTTTTAACCATAAATAGTGAATGATTAAATATTAAGTCTAAAGAAGCAGCAAATATGCTACTTTTTTTTTGTGCCAAAATGGTAAAGCATAAATAAGTTAGAAAGGAAAGTCATTTAAGACATAAATATTGTAAAAACAGGTTTCCCATTTCATGGCATATATAATGGAGAAGATCAGTTTCTAAATAAAAATATCAGCTGTTTTGATAACCAAAGTCTTTTTTATCAGGTTGAATTGATATACTGCATTTGAAAAAAAATATTTCCCAAATTTGTATATATTTAATATTGGCTGCTTTTCTAAAATATTCTTTATGCCATGACATATTCTGTATTTCTGCATTTCTTCTATGCTAATCTCAATCATGTAAATATATTCAAAAATCTGTCTTTAACAGGCAATTTTTCATGTTCTAATATTTATATTATTTCTATAGAAAAGTTGTAACTCCTATCAGAAATATTCTTTGGTAGTTTTTTCTTCTGCCTGGTTTCATCAACTGTATCAAACTGTACATAGTTTGGAAATGGAGTGTGCATGTATCTCCTTCTCTCTCTCTCTCTGTGTCTGTGTATATATATATATATATATATATATATATATATATATATATATATATATATATATATATATGCCTCCAAACATTTGCTAAGAAGAGCATACCATGATGAAAAAAGGCATTAAATTTTATAATCCTTTCTGGCATGTTCAAAATGTTGATTAAAAATCTTGTTTTTCTTGAGTCAATGGGTGGGCCAAAGATCGGTATGGGAAATTTTAGTGTCTTTTTTACATTGTTTTGTAAAACAAATAATTGTCAGATTGTAATGAAATTTTCAAATTATTATTCACAAATAATTTATATTTATTTTTCAAAATTTTTTTTAGAAAATCATGGTAAAAATATATATATTTTTTACATATGTTACCCCCACTTACTTAATTTTATGAAATTTTGAAAAATTAAAATTTCACTCTCTTCATATTTATATTAGTTAAAAGCAGGACTCCTTCTCCTTAGAGAATTTAAGTTAGTTTGTTTTTGCCAAACAGAAACACCATTTACCATAAATCTGCTCTGAATTGTAAATAAAAGAATGCAATAAAACTCTGACATTATTTAATTAGATTTATTTTTTTAAGAAAATGGTGATAATAATAGTGATCAATGTATGATAACAGAGTTATAATTTATATTAATAATAAATATACATTTTTCCCTTGCCGGTAGTAGCACAACTTGAGCACAATGCAATCATGAAGGACTTATTGAAAACTGACCATTGCATAATTTAAATATTGATATTTATACTGTACATTAATGATAGTGGTGTTGTGCTACCAGTGAGGAAAAAAAATGTGTGTACATATATATATATATATATATATATATAATATATATATATATTTGAAGGGATGTTAAAATATTCTTGGCCCAGACAAATTCTATGCATTGTATCAGTTGAAGCTTGCCAGTTCGCCATAATTCTGTCTCAGTCATTATGAGTGACATTCTTAAAAGCAAATGTGATGGCTCAGTAACTCATTTTCATGATT